TGTTTGGTATTGGGTGTGTGTGGGTTTGGTTGTCATTTCTCTTTACTCACACCCACACCAACATCCCAAAAAGTTTAAGAACAAATGAAGTTTGATCAAGCTCTCATACTTTTCTTTCACATAACAAGCAACAATTCTACTTCTAAAGACGTCATCTGAAAGACAAAAATGTGCCTAACATAATACATTAATCTACTTTAAATAATCTTCATCTTAAAGTGCCTTATGAACCCCAATCTCAAACCTTATAGGGTTATCTATTTGATTGTCATAGAAAACTTAGACTCTTCATAGTTTTATAAAACAAGTTTAATATAAAGTACATTACTGAAGAGAGCACAAAAAACTACATGGAATCAATTTCGTTGAGTGCAAAGTAAAATTCTTTTCCATTGGTTGTAATAAATTTTTCATTCGTAATAATATCAGTTAGTTCGACTACTTGAACCATTGGTATCACTTTTTGAGACACTGCCCATCGTTGTCATAGAACCTGATAAAGCACAAAACTTCCCAGACAATGATTTGCTTTTATAGACTATCAAACACGTGAATCTAAGGCAAGTCTAATTAATTCTTTTTATATGTACGAGGAAAGTGGCTCATTTTCAGCTTAAAATAACTTTTCTTGTCAAATATTATGAGAGAGTGTGTGGTGTAAGTAAGGTGTAGGGTGCCTGTGTGGATGTAAGTCCGAGGCTTGGTCTGGATCCCATATCTCACCCACACCCTCAAGATGATACCAAGCTTGATGAGAGGGATCAATTCAAAACGATAAATGTCCATTATCAAGCTAACATGTTAATAGATATCATTTTTATTGGCTTATAATTAGCAATGTTCGCTCAAACAAAATAGAAAGACAAGAAATTTTCTATTGTGCGAAGTAATACTGTATTTTTTGAACGAACAAGCCTATTATATACGTAATTGAACTGGATAATGTAGGAATCATTCCTACTACGAAAATATATCTTTAATCATCAGAATTTCGTCGAAAAACTCCAGTCTGATTTTCTTTTTCGGATGATTCGGTTTTGATATTGTGACAATGTTCATCAAATGCATTTGAACATTGTGACTGATGTTGATTCGAATTGCAATCGTGGACTCCAATTGATGAGAAAGTACTTAACAGGATCAGAGGTCTTAGAAACCGTTGATTATGGATGAACAAAATCGAAGCAATTTCGTCTTTATTAACTCTTTGAAACAAATAGATTTTCTGTCTTTGAATATTTCAAATCAACAATTAATTCCTTGAAGATATTCCATTGACGACATTTTTTCAGATGATTGTTCGTTCAATTCAATGAAAAACAATTCATAAATCAATCTTACTCTTGAAATGGTTGTCGTTAGTGTTGATCAGCAACGTTTTCTCAATATCGAATAGATTCTATACAGATTTTATTCGAATTAAATGTGTCGATTCAGATTGATTGTGCCAAGACCAATAGAATAACTATACACATCTTCATTCCAGCAGTGATAACAGTATGTTTTTCCTGTATTTCAAAGCAACCGACATGATTAAAGACATTTCAGTGCAAAGCGAATGAGATCGACGTAGACTGAATAAAGTTTCGTCGAAGAGTAATTGACCGATATTCTGCAACCAAAATCACTCAAAGCAAATAGGTCGATCTGGAATAATGATTGGTTTTACTCGATGAAGAATAAATGCATCCAAGATGCGGGTGTGGATAGAGAGAGAATCATATAGATAACACACATCTACATCCTCGGAACATGAACGATAACGATCAAATAAAGCTAATAAGAGCATTTCTCTTGATAAAAATGGTATTAAGAATACAAAATAAGTTTGCATTTTACATCCAATTCGAGCAGTCATCCAATCGATGGAAAAACCACGTTAAAATTGTACTGGGTATATTAAAAAAAGTATGCATAACAGTAACGATAGCACAAGCGAGAAAGTATAGTGCGTACATGGTGACGAACGAAGAGCACGAGAACATAACACTCATATATTAAGATCATTGGTTAATAGAGAAAGACAAAAGCAAAAAGATTGTATAGAAATATTCGCTCAAAATACTTGATTGATAATATCAGTTGTATTTTAAAAAATATAAACTTCTTATTCTATTGATTCTTTTATTTGAACTTTAGACGTACTATCTTACTTGTGAAATTGTAGAAAAAGCATATTTTCATTTATATAACTCTTATGTATGTTGCTTTAAAAGGGAGTTTTGTAAATCTAAATCGATACAGAAATTTTCGCATAATACATAATGATTTTTAAGATATTATTAAATTACAGAGATATAAATATGTCAGACCAAAGAAATAATTAAAAAAAGAGTATTTTATCTGTCATTTATGACAGAAGAGCTCGCAAGAAAGTGTGAAGTAAATTATTCTTCATAACTGTATGTAAACTAATATCATTCAATGATTTAATGTTTCACAAGAAATTTTAAAAGAGAAAGAAAACTATTTTTATGAAATGATTAATCACAATGAGGTTTGATTGAAGTCGTCTTTGTGATTCATAGATTTCTTTTACAAAAGAAAAGAAAACAGCTGAATCACTTTTTTTTAATTACAAAGCCATGAGAAAGTATGATGATAATTGATGCTCAATTTTTCATCTTTGACATCGAAAATAATTATTTATGGATAAACTGAAACAAAAAATATCATAACAACAAAAGAAGAAGAATGAAACTTACTGTATGAAAAAATAGGAAACAAAACGACAACAATATTTTGAGTCTGGATTAAACATTGTTTTTTTTTATTCTATTACTAGTTTAACAATCAATCTACTTATCTTTTACACTATGTGGGATTTTTTGATTACTTTTTTGTATCATTCTGTACGTTTTTTCTGCATGACAAAAAGATACATTAGACGAAAACTAGATCAATGCATCAAATCTTATACTTTGATTATTAACATATGCATAAAACTGTTCATTTTTTTTTCACAATTAGTTACATTAAAAAGTATAGAATGTAAAACTAGTAGAATAATTTCTTCTCTCTTTAATTAATAACCATAGTTTGATTATCTAATTAAATAGAAAAAGATCAATGATTTATTAAATATGAAAACATCGAAATAGTCACATCACAAAACGATAAATACAATCAGTTGATGATATTTTGCCTTACAGATAATAGTCTTTATTCTACGATATTGAGGAATTATATCATTTTAATATATTTTCCATAAAATAAATTACGATACATTAGGATTAATTAAAGAACTTTTAGGATATATAGCATGATTCACTTATTTTTGCTGGTTTTCTTCAATTTAATTCATTTCTACTAAACTTAAGAAGATTTTTGTTTTTATATGACCGTATAGAGCATTCATTTTTCTATCGAAGAAAATATTTCTGTATGATTTTTTTTCGCATCTTAATCGAGAATTCAGTGAATTTCTGAAATTCCTCAAAAGAATTCTTTTGCTTTGAGATTTTCCGTACTTTTTCTCAGATGATTATAGTTCTGCCGACATTTGAATCATTATTTTTGCTTCATATGACCTGATAGAACAATTACATTCTCTATCGAATTAGGTAATTCGAAGTTGGCTTGGCAGAAGATTTTGACATAAATGCTGCATTATTCGAATAGTCCTAAAGTTGTTTTTCGTTTCTTTAGCGAAAAGCTCTAAGCAACTTAAAATTAAAAATTGAAAAATTATTTTTCAATTTTTAATACGTGTCGGTTTTATTCTATGCTTTATAGAAGCATGACTGCTAAGGATAGATTCAATCTGGAACTACTTCCACAAGAATCGGACTGAGTAGCAACTATATATTTATGTTTTAGCTAAATATTATTGTACAAAATAAATTTGTGAGGACTTTTAGAATTTCATTTAATTCTCATTCAAGATAAGAAATAAATCATATACAAAAGTGTTCTTTTCGATAAAGAAATAAATGCTCTATCTAGTCATATAAAAGCAAAAATCTTCTTTAGTTTAGCAGAAATGGAGTATAGCAAAGAAAAGTAACAATGATCTATCCGTATCGATTTCATTTAGACGACTCCGACATAGTCTACTATCTCCAACCATAGTTAATCGAGGAAATATCTAAAAGCAATGAGTGTAGCTGAATGGACAAAAACAAGGGTGAATGAATATTGATCAGATAGGTTAAAACACCAACGAGTACGACACATTCATTGTAGTATGAATCTGGGATACGTAACATATATGTTTATGCAACTGTAAAGCAAGTTGGTTAGATAATTAAAAAGTTTTAACACAATAGTCAAATCGATTGAGTATATTCTTCTAAAAGTAAAATGATCTGAACAAAATCGATATGCTTCCTGTTTTTTTTCTATAGATTCTTTTGTTTTGCCTAAATATAAAGACTTGTTACCATAACTGACAAAAAGAAATAATGGAGCATGATATACAAGTATAACATTGATATAAAAAAAATCTACGTTCTGTTTAGTCCAATTATCAAGAAAATAAATACTGTAATATCTGGATTTTCTGTACTATTTTTGTATGTCGACGTGGCAAAATGAGTCATGATTATAGACATCGACTGATTATATTAATCTTTTCCGCTATATTTCTGTCAATGAGAACAGAAAAGAAACACTACCAAACAGTTTTCTTTTACCGATGTCAGCAAGAAGAGCGCAAAAAAAATACTATCTGTATTTTTTTTCCTGCTATATCTTGA